AGAGAAATGTGACAATTAAAGCGACAACATGCAAGTATTAAAATTGGCAGATGTACATACTACCTAAAAGTCCCGTAGAAAAGGCGTCATCAAGAAGAGATGAGATCAAGCTAGTCCTAGCAAGCAATACAAAGCAAATACAAGAATCAGTCGTCCAGTCGTGCACGTTTAGCACTACATTCCGGATCCTCATGGTTGAAGAAGTCTGTGATGTCCTTTGGGTGGCTGCCGTGAGACTCACACTTCAGATGAGATGATTCAGCTGTCCGGAATGTATCATTGGATAAGTTAACCTAAAAATTCGTTGTTAGCTTCAGCGAGAGCAAAATGTAAGTTCTATGACATACCTGACCAAGGACATCGAGCTTTTTTTGTACAAGCGGCCAGATAATATCGTCAGCAGTGTTTCTAGCAATGAGGTATTGAACAAAAACACTGTCTTTCTGGCCTACGCGATGTGCACGGTCTTCAGCCTGAATAATTCAGAGTATGTAGGATAACGGAAAAGTTAGCCTCCAATTAGCAAATAATCCCAAGCTAATCTCTTTGCAATGGTGGTGCTCTCTACTTAAAATGAGACAACAAATCTAAGAATGCAGATAATTTTACGGAAACAAAAGAATTCAATCCATTTGGGCTAGTCGCATTAAATTATTTCAATTGAAAGTACTTATGATGAGAAGGCATTGCTACAGAGACGCAAGATAAGTGCGCATGAGTTCTATCTCCTTTGCTCTATCTGTTAGCCTGACCAACAGATAGAGCAAAGGAGAGAGAACTAGAGCTCAAACACCCTAGATATAAATTTCCCGTAGAGTTTCTGTCCTTTAAGACTTTGACTACTTAAAATGCATTCCATTTGAGTTGCATATAGTTTGCATCCCTTCTCCTGCACAAAATTGAATCAGTTCAAGCTAACCTGCAGTAACGTTCCTGGATTCCAATGAAGCTCAGCGAAGACAACCACTGACGCCGCAGTTAACGTGATGCCTACACCAGCAGCTGTCATGGAAAGTATGGCAACTTCAACTTCTGGATCTTCCTAAAAGCATTGTAATGGTGGATCAGAGTGCTGCGCTTCTGGCCATTTTTTTT